CCTGTTGCTGACTGTAAACACTACATCTGTAGCTTAGATTTGCATTTTGACTTTTATTTAGGGTTTTGCAAGGGTATTAGCGGTGGATAAAAGTAAAGTAAAAGCAATTTTACTGATCCAGTTTTCCAGGGTGCTGAATCATTCACAGTATTTTCAGATGATGGGAAATAAGGGGTTGGAGTGGCTTTGCCTATATGACATTCCTCAATTTAGTCTCAGTCACAGAAGCCATTAATACTACTCATTTTCAATTACGTTAAACTGTGCAAAGAAATATTTTATTTAAATGTTATATCTGCAAAAGAGTGACGAGTGGTTTTTTAAAACTCTTTAAGCCTGAGTTTTTTCTACCGTTTCCCGGAGTTTTTTTCTACAGTCACCTAAACCCAGTGCACTATGTCTCATTATAACCACAAAAGCTTGCCTCTAATTTCTATATAGCGGAAACAAAGGCTTAGTCATTACTAAATGCTTGGTTTGGGAATAGTTCTGAAAAATAAGCAAAAACTAGCACTAAATAAAATGAAACAGTTGTCACTAGTACTGGACACTCCCAGCGTCCGGTGGGGTTCAGAGTTAATAAAGAGTCAATGAAGTGAAAACCAAAAGCTTTCAATTGTTCATAAATTCCAGGAAATTTATTCATAGGTCTGACAGTCAGGTTGTTCAGTGATGAGCCCTCTTGTTCGAACAGTTGAGACAATGAAAAAAAAACCATGTAATTATTCTTATTATCAAGCTAATTGTAAATAAAAATGACTGAATTTTTTTCTTTTCTTTTCCCCAGCTATCTTGGATGAAATTCAGCAATTGAGGGGCACTGTCACAACTGAGAGTGGATCTGCTTCATCAAAGAAATCTTGCCTTGCTTTACAAAGAGCTCTCATTCACTGTCAAGAAATAGGGGATGAAAAGATTGCTTTGGTACAGCTGATTTCAGATCTGATTGAAAACAGGTCCCGACAGCTTGATCAGGATAGGGAGCATTTGGGTGAGTTTGCCACTTTGGCTTATTAAATAATAGTAATAGTGATACGTTCGTTCATAACAATGATGTTGCAATAGTGTAAAAAGGATTAAGTTCCTTTCTTCGGCATAGCTGAAAATTATATTTGGAGACAAAGAAAACTGTTTAAAATGAAAAATGAGATATGAAAATTCTCATACATTTTTTATAACATTACTTTTTCTGTCATAGTTATGAACAACAAATAAGTGACCAAAAAAGTATCAATTATGTAAGATTACTTTGACAAGAAGTTCTTCAAAATGTAGCCTTAGTCTAAGTACAGCCAAGTGATAAATAAAAGACTACCTGAGCAATTATCTTACTAAGGCAGACTGATCATCATCATAGGACATGTTGTGAATAAATCACAGGTAATTTCTCCAGTCAGCAGTGTAAACATTCTTCTCAGGGGGATATTTTGATGAAGATTTGAAGTGATCAACTTTTTAATTATTCAATATGATGTCCTTGGGCGTAGAATTGGATGGATAATAGAGCGTAGGTATTCTGGTATTGGGGTAAACTGTTATATTTACAAGTTCTGTGTCTATAGATGTTGTTGGACTTGATTTGTTTTTCAGACCCCGGATCAACCAAAGAGCCAGAAATTGAAGAGGTTGTTGTTCCAAAGAAAGAAGCTGCCAAGGTGGAACCTGAAAAACCAGAGAAGAACAACGCTACTAAACGTCAACGGAGAACGAAGAATGATGGACAAGAGGAAGAAATTAAGGTTAGTGAGAAGGATGTAGTATTATGTCTGTTCTTGATTTCATTGATCTCTTTTCACTTATAAACCAGTTCATGATTTTTTTGTACCATTGATCCTTGAACACCTGTGAGAGGGTTTTTAAGAAATCACACTGACGTAGCAAGTACTGTTCTGTCACGACAAAGGGCGTCTGCTGCTTTTGCACTGTTTTGGTGAATATGTTATGAAACTGCAGAGATGCCAACCAGTACGATTTTACGTATTTTAGTACGATTTTTTGCTGAAAATACGCCAATACGACTTTTCATTTAAAAAATACGCATCCTGAAATGCGAAAAATACGAGATTCAGCTTGGGCGAGTAAACCTAATTATCTCAAGTCCCTCTTTTGTCAAAGGCATTCCTTTGTTAAAATAGTATCAGTTTCGCAGAACTGGAATATTTGAAAACCAAGTCCGATGTGGTCAGTAAGTCCATTTTTGCTGGTCGTGATCGTGATATTATTTTAATATTTGTTCAGCTTTTCCACGTCCGGAGAGTACGTTTCACTTTCACGCGGATAGGCAGCTATGGCGGCAGGCGGAAGCGCATGTGACACCGAGGCTTGATTGGGAAAAATCAAGAGCTACTTTCGCTTTCGTTACCACCAAGAAGTTTGCCAGCAGTTGTCTGATAGGCTAACACAATGTTTGTGGCATGCAGGTTGTGCGGTATAAACGCAATGTCGCCCTGCAAATAAAATGTATTAAATACTCAGACTCGTCGCTGTGCTGTCGCTTGTGAAAAAAAAAATTAAAGAAAATACAAACGTTGTCCGATTTTTAGATTGTCTGGCTCGCCATCGTGACCGGTCACTGAACCTGCGCGCATTCGCATTTATAAATAAATGCGGCATCGTGTGAGCAAAGACTGTCTTTGGTGGGAGTAATGGCGTTGCGAAGTATATGACTAAGGAATAGGAGAGGAGATTATTGATTTTTTGGGGGTTTAAGATACTATCGGGAGACAAAAACTTGGAAGCACCTTTCAGAATTTTGATTAGAGCTTTCTGCAAAGTGTGCGTTGGTGCAGGCCGTGTGCGGAATCGGGACTCCTCACATTTTGCAAGTCTGTGTTATTGAAATAAAGTGTTCGCGTTTCATTGGATGGATGATAGTAAATTATACCTACTTGGATGGGTGATAGTAAATTATACCTACGGTGTATGTTGTAGCTTTCTGTTCAAGACTGGCAGATTTTCAGTGTCACTGCATCTTGCCCTACTACAGTTGTTACAACTCTCACAGTGCACGGGTCTACTTGAGCCATTCAAGTTATTGCTTTTCTCTGAGTTTGAGCAATAATTTGAGTCTGTCAGTTCATAATATGAATCATGACACGGTGTTCTAAAGTTTACTTTTTGTTTGCAGGAAGAGAAAGAAAAGGTGCCAAAGAAAAAGAAGAAGCGGAAAACGGTCAAGAAAGAAACCAACCGAGGTGACTCTCCGCTGGACTTCCAGATTGACCCGAACGAGCCGACATATTGTTCTTGCAATAACGTCTCCTATGGGGAGATGATTGGCTGTGACAATGAAAAGTGCGTGATTGAGTGGTATCATTTCGGCTGCGTCGGCCTCCGCACAAAACCCAAGGGAAAATGGTATTGCCCTGACTGCAGGGGAGAAAAGTCCAATATCAAGCGGCCAGACAAGTAGGAAGACCTTCAAAATCCCCCCCCCCCGCCCCCCCACTCCAATTGTAATGAGGCCATTTATGCTGTAAAGATATGTAAATTTATATAAAGACTTATGTTGTATAGTACAACTGGAAGTTCTGGTCACATGAGGTGACCCATTCGCTGTTTGTTGAAATTTGTGAAGGAATAATATATAATGTGAGATTGTTTCATTTGGTGGGAGTGTTCCTTGTGAGAATGAAAACAAATCACTCGCCTTTTTCTCTTTTCCAATGGGGTTGCTATCTTTAAAGAAATTTCTAGAACTGTAGATGTTGTAGGTTTCTATTTTCTAGATTTTTTTTTTCATTTGTAGTATTATTTTAAAATTTTGTTTTGTGTACAGTCAAATATCATCAGTGTCATAAGCATAGCTGCCACTTTCCCGCTAAATAGCGGAAACTCCGCTTCATCTAGCTTTTCCCGCTACTTTCCTCCTTCCTCCGCTGGATCGCTCTCGGTCGCAAATTGCGATACTTTTTTACACGCGGAAAACACCGAACCGCGAGAGAGACGAAAACGCAGCTTGCGCATGTCCGCCCGTAGCTTTCTACTTCTGTTCTTCTAGGCCTAGCGCTAGTTTCACATTGTTTATTGTGGGGCGACAGTGTCAATGTTGATGGGGCATCGGGACGTTAGCGCACCGAGTTGTCATTGAAAACGGCGGAAATTCGAGAGAAATTGATGCAGAATGCAAAAATAAAAGGAGCTGGAATGAGAAAGAAGCAGCCGGTGTGCGACTTGAAAAGTTCATTAGAAAATTGAACAAGCTGCTTGCTGCACTTTGCGTTTGGTGCGATAAAGAAATCGCAGCCCGCAGCACTCTTGTACAATTGCGGTCCCGTTTGTTTACATGACGGCTAATGTGGCTGTTGAAGTGAATCTAGATCTAGATAATCTATCTCTAGATATAATCTAGATTTACACATATTAAGATATCTAGATTCTAGATCTAGATTGGAAAGCCTAGGCTATAATTTTAATTCAGGTTAGATCTACACACTACAGAGGGACTACTAAGTTAAGTGCAAACGGGACCGCAATTGTACAGGAGTGCTCAGTACAGCGGCAAAGGTGTTGCCTCCTTCATCCAATACTGCGCGCGTTCTACATCGATGTACAAGTTTAAAGTGAAAGAAATCTTTTTATAAGACACCAGCTTGCAACAAACACTGGATTTTTAGTCTCCAAGTCCAAACTGTGTCAAATTGACACAAATGCTTGTTAGTCTACTTTTAAATGCCTTTGTTGGTTTTTTTTGGTTTTTTGTTGGGTTTTTTTCAAATACATTTTAATTCAGTTGCCTATGGTTAACAAATATGACAGTTTTCCCTTCCAAAACCATAGGCTAGATTTTCCAGTATATTGCCTCTGGATCTCACTGGTTTTACCCCGGCTTTCGGAGAGCGCGCGTCCGCCTTCGCATGAATTTCCTCCTTTTTTGAAATTCCTGAGTGGCAGCTATGATAAGTGATCCACTTAAGTCCTGTTGCGTACTTTCTATACCAGAGACAAAAAACTAGTTTTTATTGTTTCGTTCCTATGAGGAATTATGAAAAGGAATAAAATTGTAAGCCTCGACTGTAGTATTTAACTGCATTTTGGTGGTTTTGAAAGGTGCATCTTTGATAGAGCTTTGGGAAGGTGTAAAAATAAAAAATTCTCAAAATTTCGACTTTTGTGGACTGCTTGTAACAGTGACGGTATGTTCTGGAAATTTTCTTGGTCAAGGTAACAACAATTTTTTTTCTGTTTTCTATAACTCAATATCTCGCTATGCCAGTACAGTTCTCAGTTCTCCTGCCTGTCTCAACACCTCAGATGTAACATAATAAATATTTGAATCTAAGTTGGTACTCTCCTTTATTAAGCGTCTAGTTTCCCAGGCTTTGTTTGACCTGTAGCATAAGTGATTGAGTTGTCCAAGGATTATGTTGACAGGCAATGCAGCTCTCTGTTTCCCTTATCTCATTGAAGACATTTCTCATTACCGTATATCAGTCGGATGAACTACTTGTTGCAAGGGCACTTCTGCACGTGTTGCCAGGGCATCTCTCAGATTTCCCCAAACACTTTGACATGACCAGGCTCTCAGGCTTATTTTGCGTTTGTTAACCCTTTTGTGATGGGTTTTTTTTTTTCATTTTATACTGTGCACAATTTTTGCTAGCCAGGACAGAATGGTTTCTTTCTTTTTGCAGTTCCCTTCAAAATTAAATATTTACAGATTATGAATCTTACTTTAGTTTTTTTTAAAAAATTCTTTTCAAAGCTATTGTAGACCATCATAATATCCTTTATGGTGTATGTCTTATTGTCCATATCATTGATAAAATCACCTGATTCTAGGACATACATTGTACTTGAGGACGGCATCCTGGTCAGGATGTTTGACATTTGGGGTATCGGAGCTGTCACTTATGGGTTTATTTTTAAGTGCTGTGGGATCAAATGAAATCATTTGTCTATGTTGAAGCAAGTGGAAGAATAGACTGATATATAGTGTATGCCAGTAAGTGTATGTGTATGACTGGGACTTTGAAATGTTGCAAACAAAGGGAATTGTGAGTGTTGCTGCCTTTGATTGTTCTGTGTCATTCTGCCCTCAGCTTATTTTGATGTGTGATTAGTAGTGTGGAGATACTTGTATGTATGTGTTATCTTCATCAGTACGTTGAATGGTATGACTGAAATGATTGTTGGTGTGATGATTTTTACTGGATTATTTTGGAGTTATAAAAAATGAAATACTTCTGTACAAGATGTTTGCTTTCTGAGCAGAGGACTCTCCTGAAGGTTCATGAATGTCTTCTTCTTTCTGATTGTTTTGTAACGATTTCATGAATGTGAATACATCCATGAAATTTTAGGAAAAACGTAAAGATTTATATTTACAAAGTTGTCACTGAAAACTTTCATAGGTATATCTGATTTGTCCATCTTCGTATCCGTTTTTTTTGGTCTGGTCATCTGTGGGCTACACTTTCAGTTACAAATGCTCATCTTTGGCAAGTCAAAAACCACATTGAATGAGCACAGGCATTTTTGCTGTAGGTAGGTGCTTTTTCTCATCTGGGTCTTTCATCCAGTTTTTGGTTGGACCCCGGGGCGGCGACACTGACTGAAGTGTCTTAAGGCCATTCCCTAAGGGGGGACATTTCTCATAGAATTGTAAATGGGCTGATCCAACAATGTCGTGCTTATAACTGTGCCTGAACTACAACAGGGAACTGCTGCTTTTTTTTTTTAAAATCCCTACTATCGTCATTTTCCTCTACCTCTTTTGTATGTTTGTCACACTCTTGTGACCCGCTATTTCCGGGGTGCCTTGATAGTCGAAGCAGACTTTGTGCTGCTGAAGCTAGAGAGGTGAGCAGAGTAAATCTGATTCCCTGTAAGGACATCCACCCCTTGGCGCTCATATGATCTTATTATGCAGTTGCGAGCGACGTAAAACCTCTACTAAAACAAAAAGAGTTTTTGGTCGGGCGCGATAAATTAAGTGCTCTCAGCGCTGTGTTAAAACAAAATGTTTTTTTTTTTACCTCTCTTCGTCATGTGTTCTTTTGTTGGCCTCTCTTCCTTTTGTCGTTATTAGGCTCAGCTTCTTTTCTTTCTGTGTGTTATTTCTGTCCTTTTATCTTAACTGTTCTGTATCATAAATAGCCGTTTTTTGTTGTTGTCAATGCACTCCTGTTCAACTTTAACTATAACTACTTTTTTCTGGTGCTAAATGTGCTCCATGGTGTTGTCCTCTCCCGTTGAAGCAAGCCATGTGAACAGTGGTAACCTATTTTGGCTTTGATCATCTCATAAAGTCAAAATTGTCTTGGGCGGCAACTCGTTGTCAAGGAGAATATTGGTTGTCTAAGACAGGTAGATGTCTTGGACAATGTCATTATAATGTTTATAAAAAACACAAGGGGGGGGATGGGAAGTGATCATTTATACAGCTGAATGATATAGGATAAAGAACTTAATGATCTCAGTTAGGCCGTTATAAGTTAACGAAGAGCTCAAGGTCATACAGATGGACAGGGTTGTTGCTTATGTGCGTTTTTCTTTTAAGTCTTAGTCTGCGGACTTGAAATACTTGTGACAGTGAGGTGAATGTGGTTTCCGAGTTCATGCTCTACATGGTGTCTTTGTGTGTGGGGGAAATTAAAGGCTCTGGGTTTTTTATTTCCTTTTTATCACATAGTGTATTGTGTTTAAAATAATATTTTTTAATGGACGATTGTTTTTTGACTGTCCATGTCAATGCAATCATACAAACTCATACAATCTTCTTATTTCTCTTGTGCTGGTCAATTGAATGTGTTGCCCAGATCCTTGTGAGTATGCAGGTGGTTGCAGAGGAGTGTATGGTTGGCATGTGCTCTGATGTGGTTTTCTTCTTCTTTCTTATCAAACAAATCTGTCATCCTTATCTCTCCTCCTTGTTTTTCTTTGCATGTTACTTTCTAGTAACACCTCAAATCTTCAGCATTTACATGACCTATTTGTGTTGCAAATGCTGTAAAACTCTTACTAAAACTGGATTTGGAGAGGAGTGAGAGTTAATTTTAGATTGCATGAAAGGATCTGGGATATATGCTGTTGTTATGATTACTGTTTGTTGAAAATTGCACAAAGTCTAAAAAATTATCTACATGCAGTTTATAGTTTATAGTCATTTTATCATAACGGACCTGCCAGGTACTCTGATAAAATTGAAGCTCTAAGATAGAATGGTAGCTTTCCATTTTTGGTTGGTTTTTTTTGCCTTTTGAACTCCGATCAGGTGTGCACAGAGTCTATTTTGTTTTGTTTCTTGACTATAGTTTACGTCTGGTCGTACTGGTATGTAACTTATCATAAATATGATATGATAACATCTTTTTATTTTCATCAATTCGTGTGTATTTGTGATACACTACACCTTTGTCGTGGTCAGTTAGTTACATAATCTTAATATACTAGGGTTCTTGTTTTCCACAAATTTATCTAGTTTTTGGAAGAATCAGAAGAGAGCTCCTATTTTCAATCTTGGAGTGGTTGGCAGGTCGGCTATAGCTTATGTGTATTTTTCTGGGAGTGTGATTACAAAAGGGTTGTTTATCCATGGGCATACTTAACACATGTGTTGCTTGATTGAGTAATATGTTG